TGTATAGACATTGAGAAAACTAATGTGACAGGTTCGACCCACGTTTAAAAAAAGAAAAAAAAAAAACTTGCAAAAGAACTTTCATGTATGAACCAGTGAATTTAATGTGGGAATTCAGCTTTTGATTTTCTGAGTGATAGATTTCAGGGTTGCTCAAGACATGCTCATTAGCCAACCAGAAGAACTAAAATACATAAAATATCCCTTATGACAAGAGGTAGGGAAAAGACAGAACATTTTAAGTTTAAAATTGTCTGTATTTGTTATTTGGCTTCTACGGTTTTTAGGGTCTTTTCAGCTGAATCAATACTACACATCGTATTGGGTTTGTACATCGAGAGACGTTACCTTTGTTTAGAAACAATTCCAAACAGTGAAAGAATGCATTCCCTGAGAAGCTGTGGACCGCTGAGTTAGTGTGGAGAGTGTTCGTTCTCACTAATCCTAGGCAACTCAATAAACAGTCTTGGAGGAAGAAGCTATTTGTGGTGTTGCTCTCTAAGTATGCGTTAGGAGGCAGAATGGAATGTTTTGATCATGGATTGGGATATTGGGATTTAGTACTTTAACAGGGAGCCAGTCTTCAAGGGGGCAAGCCAGGGGGTGGTAAATAAGTAAAACATGGTGGAGGTTTCTGGGGTACTGGAGGGAAGACATTTTATGCTTTCAGAGAAGGTGGGTAACCCAATATTGCTGTTGTGCTCAGACTGTGGGGATGACTGTGATTGTAGTCCCTAACTTTGATGAAAGGGGAGAGCGACCCTTTTGGGAGAAGAGTGAATCTTAGAAAGTAGCAAATTGAGGTGAACAAATGGTGACTCTAAAAGAATCAGTAAGCTCAGGGGTGCCTGGCTGGGCTGGCTCAACTGGTGGAGCATGGGGCTCTTGATCTCTCGGTCATGAGTTCAAGCCCCACGCTGGGTGGAAAGCTTACTTAAAAAAAAGAAAAAAAAAGTCAATAAGCTCAGAAAGTGGCCAAGCTTTTCCAGGGCCTGATGGGAGAAGAATTTTACCTACTCAGTGGAGGAGGCTTCAGGAGAGATAGTATTTCCAGACAGATAGATTTAGGTTCTGTGGACATTCCTAGGTGAGGAGGGTTTATTTGAAATGGACTAGGGTCCAGAGGTTCCCTGGAAGGAAGTGCAGTGTGTGGACTTGAGGGACCTGGGGGGCTGGTTGATTAAGAGGTATGGCAGTTCAAGGCGGGCTTCACGGGCACATGGTCCATGTGGTCACTCCAGGCTTTGTGCTCTGCAGGGCCCATGCTTGGTTTCATCCTCTGCTGTCACCATCTTAAAATTCTTAGTCATTTTTTAAAAAGATGTATTTATTTATTTGAGAGAGAGAGAAAGGGAGACAGAGACGATGTGTGGGGGGCAGAGAGGGAGAGAGAATCTTAAGCAGACTCCACACCCAGCACAGAGCCCGACTTGGGGCTCAATCTCACGATCCTGAGATCATGACCTGAGCTAAAATAAGAGTCGGATACTTAACCGACGGAGCCACCCAGATGCCCCCAAATTCTTGGTCATTTTTGAATAAGGGGCCCCACTTTTTCATTTTACACTGGGTCCCACAAATTATGTAGCCTGTCTTGCCTGGACCTTGGAGAGGCAGAGGGCGGTGACAGGAGGAGCCAGGGGAGATGACTAGTGGTGTCAGAGCTCTCTGAAGGTGACCGAGTGGCGGTTCAGCCCCCTTCTTGCTGCTGTAAACTTGCCAGAAATTGGTTGAAGTTGGATGAAGAACAGTCTGAATGGGGAAGGAAGATTTGCTAGCTGGGAGAAAATTCTTTCCAGTGAAAATGAGGTTTACTATCTAACAATAATGTTGTAAGAACATTGTAACGGGAATGTTCAACCATTGTAATCTTTTCAGACAAGTGTGATTAGAAGGTATTTATTGCTGTCAAATTATTATTCATGATCCTCTGAAATGTGAATCTAAAAATTACATTACTTGAGAGGCTGATATCATTTTCCACACTGTATCTAATTAACTCTTTTTTGGTGAAAGACATGGAAAAGCCAAACTGTAGGTATCTTTGAATTGTAAATGTGGATTCCTGAGGTGCCGGCTAGTGAGATCTTGACAGACAGGGAAGGAGGAGGTCGCATCACTGTTGATCCTGCAGTGAGTTATCAGAAAGATAAAGAGGGTGGAATAGGCATTACCTGCATGTGAATTTCCTGAAAGAAATTGGATCCAGGCCCCAATTCTAAATCCTATTTATTGAGCCTTTATACTCTGATCCTCATCTTATTAGTCATTGTACCCAAACCTGCAGCTACAGTAGATGGGGCTCTGGGTCACAGCGTCCTCGCTATTGTTACATGTGATGCAGTACATCACATAGGCAAAGGTCATGGCTCAAAACTGAAACCAATCCTTCCGAGTTCATGTGCACCATTGCCCCAGGTGCTTCCATGCATCCCAATACTGACAACCTCTGCTTATATTCCTTCATATGGAACCTGTACCATGATTTTGCACCACGCTGACCATACGTTCTTGAGACCACCAGGTACTAGAAGAAGATAGGAATGTTCTTCCATGACTGTATTATGATTGGGAACCACAATTCATGTGTCTTCTTTTTTCTGTCTCTGGTGAAGTATCAGTTCAAATCTTGTACCTAATTTTAAAAATTGGGCTATCTTGTAATTACTAATTTTAATGCAAATTAAATAATAGGAAAAATATAAATCAATCCATGTAGTCCCCATTTCCAGGGCTATCAGTTTGTTTGGTTACTGTCTGGAGATTGCCCATGGCTCACCAATGCTCAGTTCACTTATTAAAAATCCTCTTTTGCTCTATCTCACTTTGTGTAATCTACATTACCGTCTTCAGGTTCACCAGTCTTATCTTCTGCAAGAGCCAGTCCATTGTTGATCCCATCCATTGGTATATTTTTCATCGCAGCCAAGGTAGTTCTCATCTCCAGGAGTTAAATTTGAGTCTCTTTGCTGTCTTCCATGCTTCTGCTTACCACATTCAACAGTTGCCCAATTTTTTGAACATATGGAATGTAGTTATCGTAACACTTTTAACACGCACGTTTGTTCATTCTAACAAGTGTATCACTTCTAAGTTGGCTCCCATTGATCACTCTTTCTCCTCCTTGTGGGTCCTATCTGCTTGCTGTCTTGTATATCTGGTCATTTTTCCTTGGATGCTAGACGTAGTGAATTTTGCCTTGTTTGGGTACTGAATATTTTTATATTTCTGTAAGTAATCTTGAACTCTGTTTGGAGGGCATTGAAGTTATGTGGTTTGAGGCTTTCAGGACTTGAGTTTAGTATTTCTAGGTGGGAGTAGAGCAGCTTCCAGCTCAGGGCTCATATTCCCCCCTTCCACCCCCGCACTGAAGCAAGACATGTCTGGTACTCCACCCAGCGCCGCATCGATTAGAAGACCTCCTTCCTGGTTGCTGGAAACAGACACTATTTCTGGCAATTCATGAGCTCTGACTCCTCTTCTTTTTCAGGGGCTTCTGTTCCTGGCCTTGGGTAGATTCCTAGAGTGTGTGTGTGCGCCGATCATGATTTTTCTGCGTGCATGAGGGGACCGACCGAAGATCTTTGAAGTCCTCTCTCTCTCTGCAGCTCTGTCCTCTCTGTGGCTCTGCCTGGTGCATGCTGGCCAGCTTGGTCTCTGGACTTTCAGTTCAGTCCCCTTTTGAGTGGCCCGGGGTGTTTCTCTTGCTGTGTGGCGGCAGCTTGGGAAGTCCCTCAAGGCAGTGAGCTGGAGCAATAGCAGCAGCAGGACTGCCTTGTTCCCTCCCCAGCTCTCCAAAGTCATATTTTGTCTGAGTGTTTTTGTTTTCATTTCAATTGATTCGGGCAGAAATGCCAATCTGGTCCCTGTTACTCGATAGGGAAGTCCTCGGGTGATTTGTTTTTAACTGATGCAGTGAATTGTTGACACATTGGCATGATGGTACTGCCAGTGGCAGTATCGATTACTGCTTTTTGGGAGGGGAACCTGTTTGATGCATCCACATCCCATGGAAAGCATGTATCTTTCAACCCAGAAATTTTGCTAATAGGTAGTTAGGTTATTTAGCATAGGTCTTTTTTTTTTTTTTAACTAATTAGGTAATATGCATTTGACACTCACATAGCCTGTAGATATAAAATATCAGTCTTATACTAGGACTGGATAATTTATAAGTTCCAGGGCAGAATGAATATGTGGGACTCTTCAATAATTATCGAAAATTCATCATGGCAACAGTAGAGACTTAAACCAAGTGCAGGACCCACCTAAGCATGACTACAGAGATTGTGTACCCTCGGAGCCAGGCCTGACTTCAAATATTTTTATGAATTTTACCTATAAATAATATATAAAAAGTAAGAGCAGAACAAGTCCCTGGAGAGTTTGATTTAGTAGATTATGAAATTTCTATAAAATACAATGATTAAAATTCATGTTAGAAGATTTTGAAATTACAATAGTTAACTGTTCCAAGATGGCACCATGGAGTTTTTAATTGTCTTATACAGCTAGGCTGAAGGCTGCATTTGGATGATGGGGGATGAGTTTAGAAGGACCACAAAGGGTCTTATCGGTCTTGGATGCAATAAGGTGGTGAAACTTTATTCTTTGAAAAATTCAGTGACGAAATATGTACATTTTAAAGCAGAAGGATGATATGATCAAATCTGTATTTCAGAAAGATAATTCTGATAAATGGTCCAAGATTTTCTGGTAATCCTATCTACAAATGTGGAGGACCCAAATAGTGAAATTTTTTCCTCCTTCTTAATGTCTGTCCCTATTTTCTCATTTTTATTTCTACTGTGTATGGATGCCATTTCCCTTGAATCCTCCATCCTCCATATGCCCCTTAGCTTGTCGGTTAGCTGAAGAACAGTTAGCCCCATCTCTCAATCTCTAAATTGGCATTGAAATTTTTATCCCTGGACATTTGCAATAAACCTTATCATAGTTTGAAATACATTCCTTTTTTTTTTTTTCGTTCTTTCTTTCAGTGCGCTCGGTATGATAATGCCTTCATTGCCGAGATCCTGATTGACAGGGGGGTCAATGTCAACCACCAGGATGAAGACTTTTGGACACCAATGCACATCGCCTGTGCTTGTGATAACCCTGATATTGTCCTGCTGCTTGTACTAGTAAGTAAAGCAATTTAGTTTATTACCATTTGGAGATTTGACAGCATATAAAAGGCTATATATTTAACTATTAATATTTCACAATATGTAACACTTTGGTTGATAAAAAAATGTGTATGTATGTCATCCTTTATTTTCCTGGAGTTACAAGATAATTAGAGACTAAGGTTGTGGGTCACAGAGTTCATAAAACAAATTGTGCAGATGTCATGTGAAGCTCTACTCCCCTGGCTTTTATTCTGGGAAATTATGTGCCTTAATACTTTGCAAGTGAGTCCTAACTAAAATGGTTTCATACATGGTGTTTCTTTCAATCCATTCTCTTAATTTTTAGCCAATTAGGCATACAGTAATGAGATATGGCATCTATTGAATCTTACTCTCTTGCTCACATCTAGTAAAGCAGTGTCTACAACATTTCTTTACAAGAAAATGAAAACTTTAAGTATAAAACTCACTAGAGTTATTTGTTGCTGTGGTTTTCAATTATAGTTTAGACCCTGACATTGATCCTCACAACATACTTTAATCATTTTGGAATTGAGATTTGGGATTTTTTTCTGGTGAGTTTATCTCTAACAAAGATTTTAAGAAATTATGCAGGATTTTTAGAAAACATGCACATCTCATCCTCTGATTATATTGCTTTTCTTTGGCAGACTGAGAAAGAGAAGCTGGTTTTATTTCATGTGTGATCACAGAGTTAAATCTATAGTTTCCAGATTAACATGGTCATGGCTGTGCAGTGACCCTTTTCTCACATCAGGTACAAAGTTGTATTTCTGACAGTTATGTTCTGCAGCGACCTTCATTTACTGATCATTTAATTAATGTTTATTGATTACTATTTTTAACATAATTCCTGCCCTTGAGGAAATTACAGCTTATTCGTTCATTTGAATATTTGTTGAATAACCACTATGTTCTAGGTGTTACACAGTGAACAAAAAGACATTTTACATTATAGAGTATGGCAAAAACAAGAGCAAGCCAAATAAGGGCACCACTGAGAAATGTGATTAGTAGATTAAGCAAGAATAGAATAATTACTTTTATTTTTTTTTGTTTTTGAAAATGCTATTTTATTTTTTAATTTAGTTTTATTTTATTATGTTATGTTAGTCTCCATACAGTATAGCCTATAGATATAAAATATCAGTCTTATACTAGGACCGGATAATTTATAAAGTCCAGGGCAGAATGAATATGTGAAAAACATGGCACTAAATAATTTAGACCACAACGAAGACTTTGCACTGACAGTGAAACAAGAAGGCCCGGCATTGGCTTGTGGGATCTCTGTTGCAAATACGTGCACTGGTGGACAAGAGTTTTCCCCACTCTGCTCATGTGTGCAAACAACCGTGGAAGTGGAGCCCAAGGATTCCTTGTGGTATTACAGAAAATTTCAGCCAACAGAAAAATTCGCTAAGGTGGAGCCTGTGAATGATGAGGATCCACTCTGTTTATCACTCAGCAAAACAATGGACACTTTCTTAGAATTTTAAGTATGAAATAGAAATCATCTAAACCCAGTATATTTTAGGAATTGGGTGGATCAAAAATGATGAATTTCTGCAAGAAGTTCTCAAAATTTATTACAAAGAAAGTCTCAGTATTTTTACAATTTCCAGCCTGCAGTTGGATAGGGTTTTGGAGTTTCCTGGAAGTTTTACGGAGCATTCCTACGATGTGAGCAGTATACTTAATATATAATCCTTATTTTTTTATAATAAGAAATCAGTTATCAGAGAGTTTCTGTAATAGAATAACAAGTCAAATCTAAATGTTTTGGCTCCCCCCAAAATAAAATTTTAGTGCACTATAATTTTTTGTATTTATATATAATTACACATGTATTTAATTATGTGGAATATACATTGTAATTACACCATTTGTCCACTGAGAATTTTCTTTTCCTTACTTTATTTTATTGATTGTTGAGCATCTCACATATATACATTTTGATTTTTCATTCTACATTATCTAATTTTAAAAAATATTTTCTAACTTGTTCCATATTCAAATGCTAATGTTCTATAACTCAGAATTATATCTAATTTTTTTTTTAATTTCAAGGTAATTGGCTATTTCCCAGATTTTAAGAAGCTTTTCTACTCAGGAATACATCACAAAGGCTGATAAATGATTAACTCAAATCATGTCAGGTCATCTTCTCTAGAAAATCTTGATTTCATATTTATTTCAACATGTTTATGTATGTATATTTCTGGCCTATTGTATCACTGCATATATACTTTGAAGAAGTACTTATGGAATATGCTCAGAATTTGCTCAATCCCTTGCCTGCGGAGGGAGGGACAGTAGGCTTGTCTTTGCTATCTCGTGCCTTGGGACTGACTGCACAGGGAACAATCTCTGAGGAAGCTTGCTCAGTTCTCCCTTCTTTTCTCATATGACTTTGAGTAAAAGATTTGCATTTATTTCAGTTTTCTGAATTTTCACATCTGATTTTGCAATATGGGCACAGGTGCTACATTACTCTGCCCTGTGAGCAGTTCCAAAGCTGGGCCAAATCTGCACGTTTCAACAGTCCATTGCATTTGGAACCATTGGAAATACATCCCTTTAATTTGGTGTTAATTGATTTGAAAGGAAGATAATTTAATAGAGTAAAAGACTGTAGGATGTTTCTGCTTCAGAAAATGATATACCTGGGTTACTGATAAATCATCTTGAACTTTTTGTCTTTCCTATTGAAAAACTTGGGAGGATATAATATTCCACATATCCTGGAATTATTTAATAAACATTACTCCATAAAGGGTAGCTATTAAATGTGGTTGCAAGAAATGAGTAATGGACAACAGAAGGATAAAATGTCATTTTAATTAGTTTTATTTATAAAACAGTGAATTAATTCTGTTACATACTACCAGGAGACCTTTCAAGGTATTTTTACTCCTTGAAATCAGAAGGCATAGGGAAAATATTAGCAGATGGATAGTCATTTACTAAGTGAGGCTCAGCAATATGTTTATCATTGTTTCACTTCAGTTACAATGGAACAATTACTGGAAATTGCACTGAATGTTTTCTCAATCCTTGGCCTTTTGCGTTTGAACATCTGATGTCCATAATTTTTGTGCCTGTTGGATAGAGTGTGTCATGGACCGTGTCTAATGGGTAGTGTGGAATCAGATCATTTTAATGGGTGCTGCAGGTAACTGCCAGAAACCAACAATTCTGTCATAACTGAGATAGTAAATGATATTTCAAAAACATATTGCTTACTTTGTGTTAGGGGGCATAAATTGGTAGATCAAAATTAACTCGTTCCCAAACAGTGCTTATTCGTTGCTTAGACCATTCTTGGGTTAAATATTAGGACATGAGGTAGCCTGCTATTTAAGAAGGTGATATTCCTCCCTAGAAAATGAGCTATACATCCAGATGGTTCAAGGTAAGTCTGATTTTCCAGTAAGATCTGTGCCTGGCGTCATTATCAACTTCTTATGTAAATGACCCCACACGCAATATTAAATCTCCCTTAGCAGTTTCTCTTGCTTTCAGCTTCACTGACAAAGTAAGTTTCCAGGCTTGAATGCCTTCGGCTTCCACCTAACAGACAAAATCAACAACAAACTGTTAAATTTTTTTCCTATTTATTCACAGCCTTTGTTCCATCCTGAAAATGTATTTGTTTCCCTCCTGAAGCTAAATTCTCCTCCGTCCTCTCTAGAGTCTACTAACTGCCACCTGTCAAAGGATTTCTCCGTCACTTTTCCATCTCCCATTTCCATGGTCTTTCTCTTGGGCTCCTCCTTTAAATTCATAGTTATGTCGCAGGATCTTCCAGTAATTAAAAAACTAAGGAAAAGCCCGATTAAACGTCTTTCCTATAATTGTCACCACGGTGTCCCTCTCATTTTTATAGTCAGGCTTCTCTGTAGAGCAGCATGCTTTTGTGGACCCATTTACTGCCTCCCAGCCACACCTCCATGTGGCCAGGCTGCCTGCTATCCATGCAGGGACCTCAGCATGGCCCTTGCCGAGAACACTTTTGATATCGCTATGATGGATTTCATTGTTTATCCTACTTCATTTGTCTCACTAGATCTAAAGGCAAGTGGATCAATGAAGGAAATTGGGCAAACAGCCAGTTTTTTTTACTCAAGGTTATATTTTGGGGGCTCATCAGAGTAAGAATTTGAAAGAAGCTGCTCTGCCTTCTAAGCCCTGTTCATGGCCATTAAACTTAGGAACCTCTTTGCTTTATTGAGGTATACTTGGCAAATAAGATTGTATATTAAGTGTACAGCATGATGATTTGATATATGCATACTTTGTGAGACAATGACCATAGTTGGGTTATTAATACATCCACCACATCACATAGTGATCAGTAATTCTTACTCTGTTGTGGTAAGAATGCTTAAGATCCACTGTCTTAGCAAAACTCAAGTGTACAAAACAATATTCTTACTTACTGTCACCATACAGTACATTCGATCCTCAGAGCCTATCCATCTGCAACTGACCAGTTGCTCCCCATCTCCCCCACCCCAGCCCTGGGTAACCACCTTTCTACTGTCTGTTTCTATGAGTTTGACTTTTGTTGTTGTTCTTATGTTGTGTTTTTGTAAACTTATCATTACCTGACCCTTCCCATGACTAAAATCTATGGTGAAAATTCATCCTGACTTATGGTGAAAATTCTCACTCAATATTCACAGTGATTAAGACCATAAAAGTGATTTCAGAAAACAGGCAATAATGTGTGCTTCATGATAAATCTATAACTTGACATAAAATTCTTTGAAGATTGGAGAAAAACGTTACACACCTTTCATAGGCATCTGACAGAAACGTGAGCACCTGAGGTTTTTCCCAGGCTTGGTATGTTTGAGAAACACATTTCCATGTCCAGGGTCTAAGGACAACTTCCTTAGGCTTCCTGAGTTCATTTATTTAACCTTCCATTTTTTGTAAATAATACTGCCTCTTCAAAAGTGCTTTTCATGATAAATAACATTCTC